ATTTACTGTATTTTTAAGACTTTGAACGTGAATAGCAACTATTACAGGTCTACTGTTTTGATAACTATATCAATCCTTTCTTAAGTATTCAATTTAGAAGTACAAGACCCAAAAAAAATTGTCTAGTCATTGAGACAAAGATACGATAAAAAAACTAAAAATTTAGGCTACGTACATGTGATGGATCAACTTTCGTTCATTGTTACTAGTGATTTTTCTGTTAGAGTTTGCATAAACTTCAATGAATTTATTAATGACGTTTTAGTATAGACTCAGGTTATTCTGATCGGTCTCCTTAGAAAAACTGGTTCATTAATTGACAGCTGAAAATTCAAATTATTGTTTGGAACATTATGGAGCTACATCTTAACGTTTCATGTTACTGAAGTCTGAGGCTGTGTTTGCTGTTTTCTAGAGGCATCCACAGGATCAAAAAAATCAATTAGTACAGGCATTATTATTGGAGCTACAGTTGGTGGTTCTGTCCTTGCAATTTTAGCACTAATCATTGGTATTTATGCTTTCCGGCAAAAGAAAAGAGCTGAAGATGCTGCAAAGAGGAGCGATCCTTTTGGTAAAAGTTGGAACTAACTATTAGGCCATTTACCTATTACTTCATCTTACGGTTGTTGTTGCTATCTTGCTTCTTAATGCAGCATCCTGGGACTCAAATAAACATAGTGGTGCTGTTCCACAGCTGACAGGAGCTAGATTTTTCTCATTTGAGGAAATAAAAAAATGGACTAATAATTTTTCAGAAACCAATGTTATTGGTTGTGGTGGTTATGGAAAGGTCAGTTTTTATTGAACCTGCACGACCCCCCCCCCCCCCCCCGCCCCGCTTCCCTCCACCATCACATAACTGAGAATATCAATATATCAAGAAGTTTGTTTGTGTTTCATCCCACAATCATGGAGACTGCTCTGATACACTAGCATGTGTTCTGTTAGCAGTACTGCAGCCTTCATTCGTTCTGATCTTAATCATCTTAGACTCAGTAGTTAGTACTACCCGCTTCTTTGTCAAAGTGTCAGGCTATTTACAGACGATAATGAACTGATTGTATATTTGGATTGAGAAGTATTGATTCTTCCACCCAAGATAATTCACATATTTTGGTTTCGGGTGTAATACAATAGCGCTAATCTGTTTAATTAATAAGATCCGGAAAGTATGGATATTTTTTATCTTGTTTGTACCAGCTTCTCTTTCCACTGAAAAGAAAATTTCTTGACTACAATTGAAACTGTATTAAGTTTTTAAACAGTAGAAGTGTGGTCTACAGGTTTACAGAGGAAGTCTTCTGAATGGAGAATTGGTTGCAATTAAAAGAGCTCTACAAGGGTCTATGCAGGGTGCACATGAGTTCAAAACTGAGATAGAGCTTCTCTCAAGGGTTCATCACAAGAATGTCGTTGGCCTTGCTGGCTTTTGTTTCGATCAAGTTGAACAGATGCTTGTGTACGAGTACATTCCTAATGGCACCTTAAAAGACGGTCTTTCAGGTATATGTTGATCCCTTCTTGTTGATTAATTGAAACTAGCTCCTTTTAACTTGACCAAAATGCAAATGGAATGAAATTTGTACTTGTAGGTAAGACTGGGGTCAGGTTAGATTGGATGAGGAGATTGAGGATAGCCATTGGAGCAGCCAGAGGTTTGCAGTATTTGCATGACCATGTCAATCCCCCCATTGTACACAGGGACATCAAGTCCAACAATATTTTGCTAGCTGATCACCTAAACGCAAAAGTTGCTGATTTTGGCCTGTCCAAGCTTCTAGGTGAAAGGGGTCACATTACCACTCAAGTCAAAGGAACAATGGTAAGTAAAGATTCTATAAACACCTGCCTGAAATTTCTGAATATTGTATGCTCCCTCAAATTTCTGATGTCCAGAAAGTTCAGAAATTAAATGTGTCAATAATTTCTAGTCTTGTAATAACCATTACAAGCACTATTTCATTGTCTAGTAAGAACACCCGAAGCTCCTCCTTTCTCATTGACCACCCTTCCCTCCACTAAAAATGAGTAAATAAATAAGTAGGAACAGGAAAATACGAAAACGTTTTATTTATTTCTTGATATTCTCTCAAGGTAAGGGACTTGTAGGTAATGATGCTTCAAAACACCAAATTTAAGGAGAAATACTACCTTGATTAGGAAACAATGAGTTATCGCCCATATAGAAGCTACAAGCAGATAGAAGCTTTTTAACGTTCATATAATGTGATCTTGCCATGTATGAAAGGAAACAAGTTGAGATGTTGCAGAAAAATGTGTCAGTAATCTTTTTGACGGTTGCCTTTTATTTATTAGGGATACATGGATCCTGAATATTACATGACAAACCAGTTGACAGAGAAGAGTGATGTTTTTAGCTTTGGAGTGGTGCTGCTTGAGATAGTCACAGGAAAAGTTCCTATTGATAAAGGAAGATATATTGTCAAGGAAGTGAAGGATGCAATGGACATGACAAAAGATTTGTATAACCTTCATGAAATTTTGGATCCTGCAGTTTGTTCGGGTGCAACTCCTAGAAGCTTAGAGAAGTTTGTGGATCTAGCACTCAAGTGTGTTGAAGAAAAAGGAGTCAATAGACCTAAAATGAGTGAAGTGGTGAAACAGATTGAATATATTATGGAGATCGAAGGCCTGAACCCCGATGATGAATCTGCATCTACTTCGGCAACCTATGAAGGAGCAAACAAAGGCTTGAACCATCCTTATACTGAAAGTCTCTTTGTCTATAGTGAAGCATAATTTTCTCATCTTGTATTTTTTCAATTGGATTACAAAACACAAAACAAGAAAAGAAGGGAAAATAGTCAGTATAGGGTTGGTCACTTGTACTTGAATTAGAAGTAAAATTGCCATCATTTTAGGAACAGTCTGAAGATTCAGTAACTAAGTAGTTCAGGACATTGGTTTCTCCAACAAAGCAGAAAAATACCACACATTCTTATCGATCCCTCGATCAAGCTCTAGCATAGGAAGATAAGCTACATTTAACTGTGATCCCAGGCCTCAGAGCTCTGTATATGCCATATTGAGTGAACTCAAGCATGGTATCCAGAATCCAATTGTTCAAGATACGAATAGAGTGCACGATACCCAGAGTATTCTTGAAGAAAAGAAGCCTCTGGGAGACGCCAACGTGCATGGATATTAATCCCCTGAATGCAATGAAGCTGTTGAATGAACCATCCAAATTCATGGAAGTTGTTATAACTTACAATGGTTACATTCCTTTCCTTCATCCTAGCAACTGTACCGAAGAATTCTACCGCATTCCGTGCAGCTATGTTGATCCTCCAGAGTCTACCCAAAGGTTCAAGCCAGATTGTAGGAACTGGGCGATAAGTTTTTGTATTTCAATGAGAAGTTCGACGGAACCCACGATTTCCAAGTAGTAAGTTGTCGGCATATCGCGTTGTAACTCTATCCTAGATTTAAATAGAGGTAGTCATAGATCAAAATATTAGGAATCAAAGCAAGAAAAGTAGCATTGATGGAACGGGGGATCACACCTTTAGCGAAGAAATAAGGTGATCTGCTGGAAGTTTTTGAAATCCCAACAATATTTTCTATATAAAAAGAATCTGGAAAGCCTGATGGCTTTAAAGGATAGGGGTTCAATTGTTCCCTAACTCCCGGTTGCCATAACTTGATTCTTAATTTAACATGTTATAACAGATTACTTACTACTTCATTCATCTGTCTCATTATATGTGAAGGTGTTACTATTTGGAGAGTCAAATAATTTATTTTACTACAGTTTTCTGATATTTAAAAAAAAACATTTTGAATTATTAGCTATGTTAACTTGGAATACTTTTTGTATTGATTTTAAATATGTAAATTATATTGAATCTACACCCGAAATCATAATCAATATGGAATGTCACTTACTTTCCTACTTCCACAAAGGAAGTCAATTTCAAAACCTTATTTTTTTAGAAAAAATACTTTCCAAAATTTTTGACCAATAAACATTAATAAAAAAAAAAAGTAGAAGAAAAGAATTTTATTGATATCTTTTTCTCAATAAATTCTTTCCAAAATATCAATAGCACACATATTATAAAAAAATTTACTCTTAGATTAGGCTACTTGCCAAATTCCCTTTCTTTGGACAACCAATATGAGTAGTGAGTGAACCCACCTCATTAAGACTAACATATCTACCTACCAGGCCCTTGCTTCGGATGATCATAAATAAATCAATATTAAAGTCACAATAAATGATAGGGAACTTACATATTTGGCCGCTCACCCAAAAATAAAAATCCACATATAAAAATATCTTATATATACTTTCTTTTCGTTCATTCTTACTAATTCATATATAACTTGACATACCATTTAAGGTAATTCTATATTCAAAAGGACTTGAGCCTAAGATAACTTTTATACTTTAAAAAAAAAACTAGGATGGACTATTTTTTTCATCTTAGAAGAGACAAAATCATTCTAAGAGTACTGTAAAAGTTATTTATATATGGGGTCCAATTAATGCATGATGTAAGTTGAAACATAACCTTACATAAAGGGAACTGTGTTTTTTAGCCCCTACAAGGGTGTCTCTGTTTTCGTGGACTTAGAATGTTCACTACTTACTACAGTAGTAGTATTTAGAATGATTTTGTTATCACGTCGTTTGATTGGAAACAAGGTATTTTATAATTATTAATTCCAGAATAAGTTATTTCTTTATTACGTATATGGAAAAATCTATCTTATTACTAAGATATAAATGGTGAGATAAATAATCTCAGGACTGTCTAATACCTCCAATCAAACGCACAGTAAAAAGTAGCCCTACAATTTATTTCTAAAATTATTACATATCTTATACCTTATACGTACCAAACGACTGCTCAGAGAGAGAAGACTTGTATACGTAGAGAGATATTATCCTCTTGCTGTTTAGAGAACAGTTTAATCCTCAAAACAAACCAAACACTTGTGGTTTCTCTTTCTTCCCATTACTCTTCTTTTCTCTTTCTTTTTAGTACACATATTGGCCCCTAAGAAGAAACTAAGGTTGCATGGTGGTGGATTTAAACAATGGTCCAAACAAGAACAATCCAACTGATCATCTTTTGTCTGCTTATTATTTCTATGCAAGTTTTGGTGCAGCTGGGAGCTTCAACAAATTCTGGTGACTGTAAGTCCTACTTATCACATCTCTTTTGTTGTTTTTTTAACTGTATAATTATGAATTTAACTTATATACACCATATCGCGAATAAAAAATAAAGTTATACTAGTACCTAGCACAGTTAACATGTTATATCGTAAGTTACTTATTGTAAATAGCTCTTGTTTTAGATGATCTGAGTTATGAAAGCAAATTGTTTTCATTTCTTTTCTTCTTTTTTTTGTAGGGAATATATTAGTGTCCACTATTTTAACTCCAATTTATTTTGATTCCTTTTTCGAGTTCATTACTTAAAAGGTCATTTCAATTATTGAACATAGTAATGTTTTTCGTTGTTTTGTATCAGAAAAGTCAAATATGATTTTCTTCATCAATTTCATTCCGTATGTTCTGAATTTTTTTAAAAATAATTAGTGTATGGTATTTTTGTTCAAAAATAAAATGATTGGTGCAGATGTTGTGTTAGAGTCACTGAAGGAAGAGTGGGAAAACATACCTCCAAGTTGGGATGGGTCTGATCCTTGTAACGATCCATGGGAAGGCATCGACTGCAACAATTCACGTGTTATTTCTATGTAAGCTTTTTTTTTTTTTGTGATTAAATTAAAATTGTTAAAAGAGAATCATATTAATCGGAAATAATAACAATATTACCACGCTTTATATTATTCCTAAATTTATGAATAAAATGTTTAAATTAAGAAATAAAAACAAAAGTGCACTCTGTCAAAAATTCCATTTTTCCTTAGCTCGACAACGTCACATGTTTAATTCAATGTTCACCCACCTCATTTATGCCAGCTAAATAATATCTTCGATTTTTTAAAAAAAATCTTCAATTTTTTTAAACACTAGAATAAATAAGGAATTATTTCCAAAAAAACAGCAAAATATTTTTTTTCTTAAAAAATCTTAATTAGTAAGAAAAGTACAAAAATATGTAACTGTTACTGTATTTACTCTTCCATTTTGGTCAGTTCATGTGTATATATAATAATAAAACTAAAATGCTTATTATCTAATGAAACTAGGTTAAAATTAAATCATATTAATTTTGTTAAATGACATTGCTAATTGTAATTTGAGGTACTAATTAATGATTGTGAATTTCAGAAAATTATCAAGCATTAATCTGAAAGGGGAGCTATCTGGAGACATCGAAGGCTTGTCTGAATTGCAGATATTGTATGTCTTCTACTCATCATAATTGAAAGTGTTAAAATTTGGAGAAAAAAAAATTGTCTTAATTATGTTCGCTCTGTTTCAATTTATTTGTCTGATTTGAATTTGACACATAATTAATGAAAGTAAATAAGATTTTTGAATCTTGTGTGGAATATGACCATTTTTGTTTTTGTGCTCGCCAAAGTGTTCCTAAAGGATTCATTACAAAAAATAATAGTTTAATGATTTTATTTGGTGCGATAAAATGAAAGTTGAGTGATCATCTGTGAAATTAATCCTGTTCTTGAAGCACCATTTTGCTTGTGATCATGCATTGCATGCACACAAATATTTTTGACTGTTGAAAAAGTTTTAAATTTCTGTTCTGATTATCTGTTTCCTTAATAGGGATCTATCATACAACAAAGGCTTGACAGGTTCACTCCCTCAATCAATTGGAAATTTGAAGAGTTTATCAATTCTGTAAGGGTATTATTACATGATAATGATTAAATGTTGTTAAATTCACCAGCTGATTTCATTAGAGTAATTGCTCCGAGCTGCCTCGCAGGATCCTTGTTGGTTGTGGGTTTTCTGGACTGATACCAAACACAATCGGATCCCTTAGCCAGCTGGAATATCTGTAAGGATATCAATTTCTTCTGTTTGCAACTTTTTATGCTTAACGAATTCAAGATATTGAGTATTTGAAGAACTTTTAGTCCTTTATGTTTTGTATAAAATTGGAAATTTGGCATGAGATGAGTTGGATGGAGTAACTTGGTCAGTGAGGATTTATATAGCCGACCCCAACTTGTTTGGGGACTAACGCTTAGTTATTTTTGTTGTTGTAGTAATTCTTGTATCCCTTTACGTTGTCAAACTGTGAAGTCTTAGAGCTTCAGGTCTCTAGATATGGTATACTAGATTGAAATATTTTTCCTGTTTCTTCTACTGGGCTACATTTCTAAAATACTATCTGAATCATGCAGATCTTTGAATTTAAACAACTTTATCGGACCGATACCAGCTTCTGTTGGTAATTTATCAAAGTTACGTTGGCTGGACTTAGCTGATAATAAGCTCAGTGGACCTCTTCCAGTTTCACCTGGTCTAGACATGCTTGTTCACACAAAGCATTTGTGAGTAATACTGATTACTGTCAGTTTCTTAAGTAACACCTTCGTCTCTCATTTTCATCTGATATACCACTTACCTCGCAGTCACCTGGGGAGAAATCAGTTCTCAGGTGAGATTCCAGATCAGCTATTCAGCTCAAATATGACTCTCAAGCATTTGTAAGTTCCACTGAACTGGAAGTGTATATATTTTTGAGAATTATTTGATGGATCAACTTCATTATTGTCCCACTCCAACGCTATGGTGCTAGCTCTGACACTTGTAGCAAACTACTCCCGTTTGGCTAATGGCTTCTTCTGTTTGGGTCTTGTAATTGCACAGGCTGCTTGAGCAAAACCAGCTTACTGGAAAAATACCCCCTTCATTAGGACTTGTGCAGACTCTGGAGGTGGTGTAAGTATTTCCAAAATCCATCATGTTCTTAAAGAATTCTAATAAGTGTCCATCTTTCTTGCTTTTGATTACCTGGTGAAGTTTTATTAACTAGATACCCATGTCCACTGTAGTCGTCTTGACAGGAATTCATTAGACGGATCGATTCCATCAACCCTCAAAAATCTCGCACTTATGAGTGAACTGTGAGTAGACAAGCATTATGCTAATATAAAAAATCCTTTTTATGAGTGTATCAGACCATCTATAAATTTTCCGTATCACTTGCAGCTTCTTATCAAACAATAAATTCACTGGCCCCCTGCCCAATCTTGCTGGCATGAATGCCCTCTACTACTTGTAAGTTCCTTGAAACTCTTTTCTGCTAAGAAAATGCAGCAATCTTGATATTGTGATAATTACAGATTATGTCTTTCGGTTACTTTAATTTGATTTTGTGGCCTATGGTCATGTTTTGCAGAGATATGAGCAATAATACATTCAGCTCAGCTGATTTTCCGCAGTGGTTTTCAACTTTGCAGTCATTGACGACTCTGTATCTATCTCTCTCTCGCTTTCTCTTTTTCTCTTAACATGCATGTGTGTATCTGTCCCTGAGTTCACGTGCCTCAGCAGAACTCACATGCGTCTGAGTGTATATGTTATCCTAATGAAGTGGTTCATAGAATTTGTTATGCACCTCATTTGTATTTGTTCTGCTCATAGGGTAATGGAGAACACTCAACTTCAAGGAGAAATTCCGCCAACCCTCTTCAGTCTTTTTCAGTTGCAGACTGTGTGAGTGTTCTTTTACTTTTAGTACATGGTTCATGTCATGCAACTATTCTCATTTTCGCTGTGTGCTAGTCTTGTACAAAGTTTGAAAGGTAGTACAAAGTGACCTAGTATATAATTCTATGTTTTGCATTTCGATTTTACGACAATGAGGTGGTTATTTATGACAGCAACTTGAGGGGAAACAAGATCAATGGAACCCTGAATATTGCATCCAACTATAGCAGTCAATTAAAACTGATTGATTTGCAGAACAATTCCATCGATGCATATACAGTAAGACCTGGATTTCCTTTTCAAATAATGTAAGTCCTCAAGCCACTTTTTCTCCACTTTAGCAATGAGAAAGAAATAATGGATCATTCATGTTAGGACATTTGATTCGTCTGAATACAATTTAGTCGTTTAACAATCTCAGTTTTCTACTTGGTCACTTGGCAGACTTATGCATAATCCAGTTTGTTATGAAGAAAGATCAGAAGACTATTGTGGCATTTCCCAAACGAACTTTGTATATTCAACTCCACAAGAAAATTGCCTTAAAACACAATGCAGTTCTGATCAAATTCTTAGCCCTACCTGTAAATGTGCTTATCCGTACACAGGCGACTTATTCTTCAGAGCTCCTTCCTTTTCTGACTTGACAAACACAAGCATTTATGAGTCACTTCAGAAGTCTATGCTATCTTCTTTTAGCCCAAATCAGGTGCCAGTAGATTCAGTTTCCTTGAGTAATCCAAAAAAGAATTCAGAGTACTACCTTGTGTTGCACCTGCAAGTTTTTCCATTTGGCCAAGATCATTTCAACCGTACAGGGATTGCCACAATTGGATTTGCACTTAGCAACCAGACTTACAAACCCCCACCAAAGTTTGGACCATTCTTTTTCAGTGGTGAAAGCTACAAATACTTCGAAGGTGATTGGTCATTTCATTTCATTGATATGTAAATGTATTTCCTATGCACAAGTTTCATCTGATAGCCGTACTATTAGTCATGGTATTACTCTTGTAGTTTATTGTCCTTTGAGTTAGGTTATCGTCTATAGTTTTTTTACACTTCGATATATTGTTTTCAGTTGGATCAAGAGGAACTCACAAGTCAATCACTAAAGGAATTATAATTGGAGCAGCTGCTGGTGGTGCTGTCCTTTTAATTTTATCAGTAATAATAGGAGTTTTAGTTTGCCAAAAGAAAAGAGATCAAGAAGCTATTAGAAAGAGTAACCCTTTCGGTGAGTTCTGTTACTGTTCTTTAGTGTTGCTTCTAACTTTTTATTTCGCTGATGGTTATCGTCTTTTTTATCTGTCCAGCTACATGGGATTCTATAAAAGACAGCGGTGGTGTTCCACAGTTAAAAGGTGTCAAATGTTTCACATTTGAAGAGTTGAAAAAATACACCAATAATTTTTCAGAAAGCAATTACATTGGATCTGGTGGTTATGGGAAGGTTGGTTTCTATTGACTTTTGATAATACAATGTTATATTATGATGACTGGTTAAAAAGCTGTTGCTTTAATTCTATCCATACTATCTGCACCATCTTTCGGGCAAGCTAAAGTTAGTTGATCACTTAAAACTTCTCGCGAACTTACAGGTATACAAAGGCACACTTCCAGATGGACAACTTATTGCAATTAAACGAGCAGAACAAGCATCTAAGCAAGGCGCCCTCGAGTTTAAAACTGAGATTGAGATTCTTTCAAGGTTTCATCACAAAAATGTTGTCAGCCTTGTAGGATTTTGTTTCAGGCAAGGTGAACAGATGCTGGTCTATGAGTTTATACCAAATGGATCCTTGAAAGAGAGTCTTTCAGGTATTTTGAACTCTCATCGACTGTTGTTTTGAAAATCAGCTGTAGGTTGGAATGTCTGGGCATTGATAAGTTAGTGTTAACTTCTGCAGGAAAGTCCGGGATTAAGTTAGATTGGAAGAGGAGACTTCGGATAGCCCTTGGAGCAGCCAGAGGTTTGCAATATCTTCATGATCATGTTGACCCTCCTATCATCCACAGAGATATCAAATCGAATAACATCTTGCTGGATGAGCGCTTGAATGCAAAAGTTGCTGATTTTGGTCTTTCCAAGACGATGTGTGAGCCAGACAAGGGTTACGTCAGCACTCAGGTTAAAGGAACAATGGTAAGTCCAGACTTTACAAATGTTGTCATATGGTAGCATTTCTCAGTTTCTATATTTCTTAAGTCACTGGAAACTCCTGTCCTATAATAGTTATAGACACCTGGTGATCGTCTTGGTTCAATTCTTAAAAGTTAACACTGAAGTTGCGTCCTGATCAATTACACATTGTGCTGAACTTATGTATGTAAGTTCATACAATGAAAGGAGTTTATTGGTTAAACTGCTTAAAAAGACTAAAACAACAGTTGATTTGTAATTTTCGCAGAGTAGAAAACTTAGGAAACTTGAAACCTGAACACTTGATATCAACATTGTTTGAAGAATCTGTAACTGAACATTTAATTAATACGAGCTGCTTTGTACATTTATCGGCTTAGGGCTACATGGATCCAGAGTACTACACAACACAACAGTTGACTGAGAAGAGTGATGTCTATAGCTTCGGAGTTCTGCTGCTAGAGCTTATAACAGCACGGAGTCCAATTGTGAGAGGAAAATACATTGCGAAGGAATTGAGGCAAGCGATAGACAAGTCTAAAGACATGTACAACATTGATGAGTTTGTTGATCCTGCTATCCCCTCAAACATGACACCTATAAGCTTCAGGAAGTTTGTGGATCTAGCTTTCACGTGCCTCGAAGATGCAGGAGCTAATAGGCCAACAATGGCTGAGGTAGTGAAAGAGATTGAGAATATCATGGAAATAGATGGATTGAACAATTGTGCTGAATCCAGATCAACTTCTGTGAGCCACGAAGGAACCAGCGCAACCTTTGATCATCCTTACAGTGAAGAAAGCCTAAATCGTTACAATGGGGTCACCAATTCGCGATAAACACCAACTCTTCTCCTGGAACCAGGTACATTGTCATAGAAATGGAAAGTGTGATTCAAGCAACTGTTGTGCTTTTGTGTTAGCTGTGTACATTCTGTGAACCTCTGTGTGCGGCGTAAACAGCCTTGTATGTTTCAACTGTTTGCTTCTGATAATCCAGGAGCTAGACTCCGTGGATTCAAAATGAGTGATTTTATTGTACGTATACATTTTAATTTTGATTTATTTTTACCTATGTATACATAATACGAATCAAAAAGTAATGCTTCAATTGAACCTACACAGAACCACCCTAGATCAGGAAAAATTTAGGTTGTGTTGAAACTTGTCTAATCTTTAAAACTCTACTGCTATCATCGGTACGACTTTAACCAATTTGTTTACCCAAAAAACGGTATAATTGAATTTATACGAGGTCAAGACTACTAATTAATCTAACTCTGTTATACTTCAATTACAATTGTGGCATTTTGGTAATTCATTATACATTTCTTTTTTTATTTGAAAAGTCTAATAAGAATAGGTCAATACCAATTTGATTGATTAGTTGACTTGCTAAGATAATACAGGTAAATGACTGACCCCATCTCATAAAAACCTTAATTATGATACCGATTTATGATGGGACATATATTGTCTACTATTATCTTTGTAAGTCAATTCGACTCATTTTTTAAGTTCGTTAAATTTAAAATATTTTAAAAAAATTATAGTACAAATTATGGCTTTTCTTAGTTTAATTTGATAAAAAAATTACATTTTTAAATATTGATCAAAGTTTATCTTATTTGACTCTCGAAAAGGCAGGGCATATTTACTATGCAAAATACAGTACATATGAACCCATGATCTTTTCCAATAAAATGTCAATTCTCAATTAATCATGCTAGTTGGAAACTAGAACTTTATAATCATAGCAACCACTTGTCAAATTAATTAATGAGTGGATCCATATTATAAAGATGCTCCTGTTATCATATTGTCTCTTCAACTATTAAAAAGGAAAAATCTTTTTGGCCAGAAAATTTGGTCAGAATTTGATTAAATGATATTTTTTCTATGTTATTTTTTAAATATTCTTACCCTTTTAAATTAAATACATTTTAAACTAAAAATAGAAAAAAGATCGGTTTGTTTTAAAATAAAAAAAATATTATAGTTTTTTTAATTTGCTAGCCATTTAGCACTTCTCTTTTAAAAATATCCACATTATGATATTGGAAATTGTTGGATTTTAGCAAGGTGTGAATGGGAAATAAGAAGAGAAAATGGAAATGTGGGGGAATCAATTTTGGAGGGAAAATGAAAAGTCATTGTCATTGCAAATTGCAAATGAAAAGTCATTTCTCTTATATTGGTAGAAGAAAGGAAAATTGTTGTTCTTATATTAGGAAACACTTCCTTTAATTCTTAAAGGAAAATTGATGTGATTGATAATATTTTTGGACAAAATTTATTTAATCAATCTCATTAATTGATTTCCTTTCTCTTATAAATTAATTCAGAATGTTAGTTAATTAACAAAATTAATTTCGCGTAACGAAATTTATTTGAAATTCGCATGTAACGGTAAAAAACGTTCTAAAGGGACCTGTTCCTTCCGAAAAGGCGTTACTTTTCCCAAAAAGACACAACGTTCTGGAAAGACACCATTGCCCGAACAAACGCGTTCCTTGCTGCAAATGGCTATAAATAAGAGGTCTTTTTCGTTTTTCATTCACTGAAAAACTTTCCTCTCTGCATATATTTTCTTATATAAACAAATTGTCGATCGACTAAGTCTGTGTGTGCTCTCGTTACTGTTCTTGCGTTTGCTGAAATTATTGAAGTTTGAGGTACCGCTACTTCTCTAATGGAAAAATCACCCCATATACACATTTAAAAGTAAATATTACGAGTTTTAAGCCTACTTTTAAAAATTTCTTGATTATAACAGAATATTTACTGGTTATGACATATCAATTAAAATTATTTTTATTTTTATTTTAAATTTAAATTATATTTATTTAATAAATCATTAATATATTTATAGGTTTTTAATATTAGTTAATAATAGATAATTAATTTGTTTTTTACTTCCTTTTTTAAAAAGAAAATGTCAATTACCCAAATTTAGGGATTTACTCAATATCTTTTCCTTGTTTACCGTTACCCTCACCAATCGTACACCCCACCCCCACCCCACACGTTTCTTCACTCACACACACCTCAACCCACCACCGACTATCATTCTCTCTCCATTGTTTCTCATCTTCTCCAAAATCAAACCGCCAAAACCCACCAACACTCCAAAATCAAACCGATTAATCATGTCTAAGAAATCGATGGAAACTCCAAGAAAGAGCCCCAGATTTGATGAAACCTTAATCGATGATGCTCATGCTCCATCCTTTTAACATACTGTCTGAAGATGGCGCGATTAGCAAAAGCGAAGTTACGGGGACAGTTGCTAGCAAATATGGTGGACCTCGGATAGCAAATGAACACATTCCGGATACAATCGATTATCCTACACCAATACCACCGATTAAAAAGTCGAAATAGTTGGTTGGATAATTTTTTTTTGTTTAACTTTTGGATAATTTTTTCACGTTTAACTTTTGGATAATTCTTTACCGTTTAAGTATTTGATGATATATACTACAATATGTTATCAAAACAGTTGATTGCACCTTTTTATTCTTGTTTGAGTGTTATAAAATAGTTAACAATGTGCACATAGTGTCTGGTATGAATTTTTTTTTTATAATGTTTGGGTTTCATAAGTTCAGGACAAAATTACTATACATAATTCATACAGCTCGGATACACTATCTTTTAAGCAGTAATGTGTATACTGAATGTATGAAACAGGTATGAAATACCAGTTATATCAATATGATTATGAATTTACTATTAAAAACGCGAATTGTGCTCTCGTTACTGTTCTTGCGTTTGCTGAAATTATTGAAGTTTGAGGTACCGCTACTTTTCTAATAGGTTAATCCGTTTTATCTTGGAAGGAATTAATCTGCAACCTCAGATACTTGAGGGGATTAAATTTCTTAAGGAAATACAGTGGATTCTGTGGACTCGAATTATTATTTATGTCTGTTTCATCTATTTTTATGTTTCTGTTTTGCTAACCTCAATAGAGGACATAACAGAAACTCCAATTCAGCTATCAATGGTTATTTACTAAGGTAATGATTCAAATTTTCAAAAAAATTCTTAGTACTAAAAAATATGCCATGGTCCTCCCCTCCCATTTAATTCAAACAGTTAATAATTTCCTTTTCCTTTTCATTTTTTGGTAGTGGAGGATGGCGATTTTTTCTATTGCGAATTAGTGGGAAGTTTTCCCATCTTATTCCTTCGAACTAGCTCGTTATAAAAACGCATGGTGAGAAATAGATTTTTATCGAAATACTGAGAATAGTGACTTGAACATTTTTTTTTCTTTTCTCACTAACTCAATCAAAACATCTATGAAAATAGTCACCGAATTTTTTTAGTGGAAAATTTCAATGAAAAAATAATAATTTTTAAGTAGTGGATTTCACTTGTGATCAAAGAAGTTCATATTTATATATTCAAAAACTATATAATATAAAAATTACTCACTTCTCTTCTCATTTTTATGCTTTTTTTTTTTTTTTTTGGTTTGTACAAAGTAGTAATTAATCAAGTACTATCATCACTATTGGTAGGGCTAGAAAGCACTTGCTTTTTAAGGTTGTCAATGATCATAACCAACTTTGTGTTCAACCGATTCACGAAGCATTTTGGTAACCATCCTGCTGGATCCAACTGCAAATTTTCATCCAAAAAAAATAAATTAATTTCCATTTTTATTTAATGAAATTACAAAATATATATACGCGTAAACTATGGTCAATAAAGCGAATGAAAACTATAATTCACGTTTCAAACTGACAAAAAAAGAAGAAATACTCCATCAGGTAATTAATTTCTCTTATCTATCCAAATTTTGAAATAATCGAGATATGTGCAAATTGACGTTGAACATTACCTGGACAACGTAAGTGACCATGCAAGAATCATGGTCAATTTTCTCAACAACCCATCCAGATTGCAACAATAAACCTCTTATTGCATTGTTTTGCTTTGGGTGCAAACCTGCTGCTATCTCTTTTGGAAGTGAAGCTACTGCTACTACCTACAACATTAATTAACATTTAACAAAAAAACATCATATGTGCGTTTGTTTGTTATCAACTTGCAATTAAAATAATACGTACCAGTGTTCCATCATCCATAGTTTCACGACGTTCATAGACAATAAATTCTCTGTTTCTGAATAAAGGCTTTGAATTTTCCCCAAATCTAAGACGTATAATACTCAAATTATCTTCCAAATCCTTTATGTATCTTGCTTCTACTAAGTCCCCGTCCCATTGCTGTCATTTTAATTTCGTTTTCATTCATCAAACAATAAACTAATTTGATCGATAATACTTGTTATTTTAGAAAATGCGCGATAATTTATTCAAACTTACCCTTGCAGCATCGATGGCGTTAGCTACGGTGATGAATTGTTCAGGAGAGACAGATTTGAGTAACCAACGGCTACGGAAAGTATGAAGTGAACCTGAACGGCGTTTAGATATCTCAACGCCGTTATCTACGCCAAGTATTTTCCAGCCATCGTTACAACTTTTTGAATCTGAAGCTGATAATAATTCTTGGATGCAATTTTCACTTGCATAGAACACATATCTTCTCAATGAGTCCTCACTAATTGACCTATACAACAAGTAAACAACGAGTCTGAACGACAACCTACTTGCAAAAGTTGAACTTATAGACATACGCGTGACATAAATAAAAAAGTATGTAGTAGTATAACTTACCATGATCTACTACAAGGAACAGGACTAGAAGTAAGATTACTCATCTTGAGCCACAAAAAGGATATATGAGAGTTTTATTTTAGTTTTGTTCCTCAAACTCAGGGAAATGATAGATGAATTTAAGGATATATATGGCTGAGAGGAGGGTGGGGGGTTGTTAGATCAAAGTACAATGTTAGATTGTTTTGAAAGAAAAGAAGGGGAATTGGTTAATATATTACTATATGTGTGTAATGTTTAAATAATAAGTGGGAAGAGTTGATTGTTGCACATGGAATGCCAGAGAAAACTCCATGATTAAAATTGCTAGTCATTATCTCCACTCTTCTTTCAATTTTTCTCTTCTCCTTTTTATCTCTTCTAAAAAA